CAAATATTGGAATTGAAGGGTGTTGGTAGTGCAAAAATAGGTCTTAAATTAGTGGGTTTCAATGTAGGTACCACCAGATTTAAATGAAGGTATTTGTTTTACTTATTTATTAAGAAACCAACAGCGTTCTATATAGTTTATATTACACAATATTATTCTTATAATAACGCCAATAACAGGTTTCCTTTAATTACTATGGGATAGCATACTACGGTCGTAATAATTAGTATCAGTAGGTATACAATTTTACACTTATAACATTAAATTGTTGCACCTGTTCCCACAGACAATACGCACATTCGAAAAGTCTCACACACACACAAATTCATAAACATATGTACATACATGCACACTATGGATTCGGTAACAGCACACAGTGTTCAACGGTAACAACACTCAGGAAAACACACATGTTACTTTTTTATACACTAGATTAGCAGTATATTATTTACTATTCTTTTACTATTATTTTTAATTTACTATAAATTATTACTTTACTATTTTTGTATTACTATTTTAAATTAAATCATGAAAATACTTAAAATCGTATTTGAGACTGTAAATTTAACAATGGTGGTAAAATAGCAAATTTTATTAACTACACAGAAATCTGCAATGCAAAAATAAATTTTGGCATTCACCTCGTAATAATCTACTAAATATGAATATGAAATGCTTTCACAGTAGTTGTAAAAAACATTAACGAAATTAACTTTATATAATATTTTTGGCAGATGTTCTGAAAATGTTTAATGTACACGTTTTAGAGATATTATTATCTGTTAAAGCATTTGCCCGTTGCTATTGGTTTCTTTTTTTTTGTATTTAATGACCATGTCTGTTTGTGGTATTTTCAAAGCGAATTCCGAAAACGAGATGGTTTTATGAACGACGGGTATGTTCATCGATTTTTGGGAAACAGCGTAACCGATTTTTATTTTATATTTAATGTGATATACTGTAGAGGTATATAAATTGTACGAAAATGCTCATGCCAATCGGTAAAAAAAATATGTGATGAAGATTTAAATGTGTAACTACTTAGACGACATTCCGGCTTACCTTGAACTTGTAATATTCAAAAGTACACTCAACAGGGCAAAATACTAAAAGTTTAAGAAAGTGAAACTGACGTATACATATTATATTTTTTTTATAGGATAAGGGCGACAAACGAGCACACAGTCCACCTGATGGTAAGTGGTTGCTGCGGCCCATAGACATCTACATCTATCCTCTATTACAAAGGAAAATATAGATGCGTTGTCACCCGTGAGGACTAAGATGTAATGCCTCATTTCCAGTAAAAAGGGCCTCCAGCCACCTGCACTCACCAAGCGAAACGCTACTTCACACTTGTTTTCTGTGAGGTCGTGGTACCACCCCGGTTCGAGCCGGCCCATCCGTGCGACAGCGAAAGCTGCCGCATGTTATATATAACTTAATTACTATGTAATAGCTTTAATTCATCGAAACACTATGTAAGACATAGTGTTTTTGGCCTATACTATATAAGTATTATACCAAAAAAAAAGTGGAACATGGATGATGGTAACTATGTACGATCTTCGACCAATTTAAATAATTGTACGATTTTATGAAAAGTGTGCAATATTTATTTTTGATAAGCAATTTTTAAGTAAGTAACTGGTTATTTGACCTCGAAAATCAATACCTCGTGGTGTCTAAATTCTAACGCGCTTGACTTGAATGCGTACGCAATGCTATTTGAAATTTGAGGCAGCACTTTCGAATCCAAAGTTTTCGAGAAAAAAATAGTGATCAAGAATCATCGAAACAATCGCCTTTAACATTTCATTGTCACTAATCACTAGGTGAGAAGATTTATAATGCCACCACAAAACGAAATCCAATGAGAAAGCTAAGAAAACATTTGACTTGCCAAGAAAAGAAAGGTTCTCAAGAAGCAGCCACGTACCGATGTGCGCTGTTAAGAGCACCTTCCAATGAGATTTTGTTTTTTACTTATAATAAACCAGTTGTTACGGCCTACGGCTGCTCCATTAAAGGATCCAATCCTCTGGGGCCCATGAGCAGAAGACTTCCCGAGCAGACGTAGGTCGGGCCTCAATGTAGCCACGTGGAAATTCCTAATTACACTAAACAATATGGGAGGACGCTAGAAAGACATAGTACTTACCATTATCCGAAGCTAACTTCGCACCAAGGCTTGGGCAGGCCGTGAGTGTGTGTAATAGTGGATGGAGAGTAGTGTACAGTGAGGCGTGAATGTGTGGGGCCTTGTCAAGCATAGGCGACCAGCCGCTGCCGAGTTCCAGGCTGCTCCAAAATGCTACAACACTGCTTCAGACTGCTTCGGCGCCGGACCACAGTCACTTTCCTCGTTCGTCACGATGACAGTCAATTAACTCTATCGTACGATTTACTACCTTACAGAAGCCACTAACTATCGCGGGTTATAAGGTTAACGCACAAAACGCAAACGGAGTTTACAGTTTATTAAAGGTCACTACCGTTTCGCGTCGCAACAGTTAGTTCTAGAATATCAGAGGCCGCACTAGCTAATATTGCCTAATGCACTTATGCAGATTCTGAGTCAAACACAATGAGTCCCTGGGAAGCTCTCCAGCAGGAATGCGCGTCACAATGGTAGACCGTATATTTACTGGCCGCGCCGAATTATTCCGAGTTCCCGACAAAATGACAGAGTGCCAATCGTGAGCACTGCCTAAGGACGACTAACTGCCCTTGGGTGTTTTACGCACGACCGAATGTCAAACCGGTATGACACTGAGCCGCGCGCCCTCTCGCGTTCGTTCTTGAAATTAGCGTTTAGCGCGAACACCAGTGCTTGACTACAATCCCACATGGCGGTGAGTGGTAATGCAGCCTTAGATAGTAGCACTTTCTTAGCGAAACAAAAGCCTTTTCCTCCTTGCCTTGAAGATGTCCAGATTCTAATCAGAGGGAAAGACAGACGAAAGATGAGGGCCGATTGTCGCAGGTTTGTGAGGACTTTGCTTCGTAGCAATTTAAGGAGAAGATTATTTTTCACGGGGAAATGCCTACGCATACCCTCCACTTAGACAATTACATCAACTTAAACCCCATGATATCCCACCATCGAATATATACGCGGCCCCATCATCATTATCCATCACTTGGCTAGCCCACTTCGGAGAAAGACGACACTTCCTCTTATCAATCTTAAGGCATCATCATCATCACCAACATTACAGCCCTTCATAAGTACACTGCTGAACTTAGATCTTTCCCCGAGGAATGCCGCAAAGCACGGTCCTGAGCCACCTGCATCCATCAACATCCTTTTCAGGCAGGCGCGCCGGAAATCTAGACATCTGTTTTGCCACAGCCTTCGTCTCCATATGCGCAAGGAAACTTACAAAAGACATTATGCTGTGGTGCTAATAGAACAGGTATATATCCGAACCCAGCGCTCATGAGGGTTAGGAGAGCGTCATATTCAATAAAAACATTCATCACGACTCCTCCACCATTGCTTCAGCGATGGTGCCTCACCAGAGTCGAATGAGCTCGCCAAGCCTAAGTGGCTGCCGTCACCTCGGACATACTCTGTACCTCAGGACAGCCATGAGGGTTTCTCTTCGTTCACCGTGACCGACCAAGAAGAGCGTATTAAAATAAATTTTAATATTTATAAAATTTACACGAAAAATAACTTTTCTTGATGTTGAAGAAAATATTTCTTATTTGTGTGCCTTCATCACATTTTTAAATGTCGGAGATAAAGTTTTTGTATCGTGTATTTTATATGTAATTAATGCAAAGTTCTTTTAAAGTGGGTAAGCATGAATTTAAAAAGCAACGCCGGATTGAAAACTTGATGCAAATGGGAAAAGGACAAATTTTTAAAGTCTATGTGAAAAGTGTGGGTCTTTAGTCCTGCATTAAAATTATATTATTTACCTATACTAAGCGAGAACGAAGAAGCAAGTATCAAGAACTTGAACAACCAAGAGTTTTTACAGCCTTGATGAATATTAATTCGTCCAAGATACTCCTAAAACAACTAAGTTATCAAATAAAACAACAAAGCTACATTCAAAGATTTTAATTTATGAGCAAAACCTCTACTTGTAACTGATAAACTTTGAGCTATTTTTTTATTATTTCACATTGGTTATTTTTTATTTTGTGAATAATTATAATTAAGGGGCACACCATTCACCTAATTTAAAGTACCATTAATAATTCTTGAAAGACGCAAAACGTAAGTATGACATATCTTGAATTAAGTATCTTAATATAGAATGATCCCGGATTTGTTTTTGAGGTCATATTAGGTTTTATACTAGTAACATACTTCGGGGGGACGCCTCTAAGATCCTGTACTCTTAACAAATAATTGTTTTATAGAAAAATGCTGACAAAAGTGCACACAATTTACTGATTGTAAAAATGCTGTGAATTATAAGCTACATCCATCCTCGATTACGAATTAAAATGCATTGTCACCCATGAGTACTTAAATAGAATGCTCAGTTACCAGTAAAACTGATTCCGGTTTTTGTTATAAACTTTATTAGAAATACACACACAATATTATTATGCTGATTGTTACGGCCCACAGCTCGGCTGTCCCATTTCAAAACCTAGCAAGGGCTTAAAACTAAATTTTACAGGAAAGCACTTAAACGTAAAATAGGTTAGCCTTTGAAAAGTATTTATGTTAAGTAAAAAATTTGCTGTTGTTTCCATAAAATACTAAATAATGCACATATAGTACTATCAGTATTTTAATATATGTGTATATTACAAAATTTAAAGCCCTTACTATCTTTGATAATTGATACGAAATGGTTAGGTTCATGTAACAACCAGTTTCATAACATAGTAAGAGCACTTGCTAGGTTTTGTTATGGTTTTACGGTACCCTACTTAGTATATCTCATTGATTGAATTCTAGTAACTCTAAAGCCTTGTAATTAAAAGCATTATGAATTGAATAGAAAAGTTTATTAATTTATAAAAAAGAGCTATTCAACTGCAGACATTTGTCCATCATTTGTCAAATCGGCAGACGAGTCATTGACGGGTAAATTATTCCAAAATGATTTTCTTGATTCCGGCATCAAACATACCAATTTATTTATAATTTCTTCTTTTTTATTTTGTTTAATACCTCTTGGGGTATCAAGACTTTTAGGGAGCTCAGTGCAATTAAATTTTTTTACCAGAAAGTCCAATTCTTGGAGGGGTTCATCAAATCTGAAAAAAAAAGTTAAAGTTCAGGCCAAAAAAGTCAAACAAATCTGACTTAAAATAAATATTATATTAAAATAAATAAGTAATACCTTGTCTTATAAAAAAGGTTTCTTGATCCAGCGCTAAATTCGACTTGCACAACAGAGTTCAAATTAAATTGCTTTAGCGGTTCATTAAGACGTGCCACTCTCTTTTTTTTAGGCCACTCATATCTACAATTGATTTCAATAGGTTTTATATTTCTCCTTGATTGCATCACTGTGTCTTTAAAATCCTGAAAATCATATATATTTCTTTGCCTCCTCATTTTCATTTCGATATTGCCATGAACAGCATCCGCGGACATGTCAGTATGGCCTTTGGTTAAATAGCTAATAGTTACTGATATAAGATTATTCAAGGAGTTATTGACTATTATAATCATTGCAGTATAAAGGGTCCAATTTTTGTTTTGCGCTGTACAATTATCAGCCCATATATACAAGTGCTCCATGTCCCTATTAGCCTGTATGAAAGCATATATGGCGTTCATTATATCACTCGCCTCTCGTCCAGCTTGAGCTTCATGCCAAAGGACACATATGGCAAAATCGCTCGACTTCTTTTCAATTGGAGCAAATGTTAAATTAAACGTAACCAAACGACTCATAAAAAAAGCATCTTTAATTTCAGGCATCTCTGGTAAAATAATCACCTTTTGTAAATCCATTGATAAATATTTAACTCTATTTGAATTTTTGCTTGATCCATCTAATCTGTATCTTTGTAAAGCAGAGTCAGCTTTGAACTTATGATTTTCATATTTCGTTCTTATTTTTTCAGGCATCGAATTAATATCGCTGTAATTCTTCAGTTCTTGTTCATACATTGAGCATTCTACACAGCTCTCACCTTTAGGCATATGAAATGATATTTTTAGTTTTTTTATATTTTGTCTGTATAATTCAATTCCACATTTAAAATTTGGATTTTTCTGCTTGAAATCTTTATACATTTGCTGTAATGTTAAGTGTCTCGGCAAATATTTAGTAAATGGTGCATTGTGACGGCGATAATGACTAACAGTGGGCTGAAAACTCATGATATGCTCAGTTATTATGCTTCCATCAACTTTTCTTCGATTGCCACCCCTATTTTCTTTGGAAGCAGATGCATTTAATATCCCTTTCTTTATAGTTTTACTAAGTTCTGTTATCACGCCATCAGTTTTATATCCAAGAGTTGCCAAAAAAAAAAGTTACGGCACACGGGAATCAACTCGTTGTCTTTATTTGGCAAAAAACAATAACGACTTTCGTTTTTAGAAAACGATTTATTAGAATTTGAGATTTGAACCTTACGTCGCTTTACAGAACATATAGTAATTATGCATTTATTGAGAAAATTACGCCTTGATACAAAATTTCGTTCCCAATATTTATCCCAAATCTCTTTCCGACTTTCAACTGAAAACTTTGCACATTGCCTCTTGCATTTGCCATCACAACTATTTACGATCATCGGATGCTTTATTTTATTTTTATTTGGTTCAGTGGCATTTACATATTGCGGATTTGCATTTTGTGTTGTACTGGTGTTTGATAAATTATCATGTTCATTATAAGTAAAGACTGGACCGGAATATGCAGCTACGAAGTGTATTTCGGGTTGTCTATTTTGATGCAGAGATTCAGCGGCAGATTGAGATATACCAGAACCCAAGAAGTCCCGGAATGTAAAATCAGTATCAGAAGAAGTATCTTTTACAGATTCAGGCAGCTCAAAATCAGGATCTTCAACTGAATCGTCCAAATCGCTAAATGTAATTAATTCTTCAGGGTCAATTACACTTAAGGTTTTAGGATTTATAGCAGTGTTATTTTGCGAAGATGAAGTGGATAGTGCTTTGAATTTAATTAGGCCGTTATTAGCAGGCAAACTGAAGCAAAGAAAAGAAAAATGCAACACACGACAAAAAGAAACCGCAACCAATTTTAAAATACCGCATACATCAATAATTCCATTTTCAAGCCAAAACAACAACTCATGGTAAACTTAAAACTAAACATGCCTATCAAACCAAAAACAAAATAATAATCACGTACAAACTAATAGGTTCAAAATATTAGTGTTAGTTACCATCATTAATTTACATAGGTATTTCAGTGCACGTGTATTATAAGGCAAAATAAATAGTTTAGATATAATGAACTTACCATTTTTCCGTCTCTGAATCACAGTTTATATTGTTATTTTTGGCGGCAGCCACAATCTTTTTGGAACGGTAAAATTGCATTTGGCGATTCATTTTTATGAAAAACAAATACAACGACACTTAAAAGTTACTGTGTTCACGCGCCGACGCCGATAATTGAATTGAAGCGAAAGCTTGCGCTTACGTGTTGTGACATGCTGTGAACAACGTGCATTATCCCTCTCTTTCTTCACGTTCGGACTTGTTTTCAAAAACCTAGTAAGTCACTTTAACCATTTTAAAACCTAGCAAGTCTCAGACACTTACTAGGTTTTGAAATGGTTAAAGTGACTTACTAGGTTTTTATGTGGTCACGAGGCGGTGAATGGTACACTTACTAGGTATCGATGCTTTAATATACCAGCTTTTTTGTGCGTTTTCAACGCTGGTGTTTTTGTATTGGGTAGGAACTTACTAGGTTAGGAAGAATATGCAATAAAACAATTTTTGTAAAAAGTGTCCCTTACTAGGTTTTGAAATGGGACAGCCGAGCTGCCCCTGCATAGGTTCAATATCCTGGGGCCCATGAGCGGAAGATTCAACGGGCAGCCGCGGTTCGAGCCGGAATGGCCTTATGGAAAATTTTCTATCTCACTACACTTTAATGGGAAGGCTAGTCAAATAAGGAGTACTTACTTGTATCTGAGGCGACGACTGTCTCAATGTTCGGTCAGGACGGAGGTGTGTATGTGCATGTGTGGTGGTGTTTTTTGTGGTGTGGTTTGTGATTGACCTGACTGGACCGTTGAAGTCTGCAGCTGCCCGGATTCCGGCACTGCTCCAAATTATGGTAATCTCCATCGACGGCAGCAATGGAGAATTTCTTCAATTCACTATGTCAGTCTATCAAATCTTTTGTACAATTAACTAACTTCAAAGCGAAACTAAATCCCGTTAATCACAATCAAAAGGGGAAGCACGCGGCGCGACCGACAACGGTGGGACAAAGTTCTCCTCCGTTCACCCCGCGGCAAATTACTTGGAAAACCAAACGCGACTGTACCGTTAGGGGTACAGAATAGGTGGGTTCTTAAAAAGCCAAGATTTACTGTAAATTATTTATTTATCTTACTTCCGTACACTTACAAATAAGTTCTATGAAGGGGATCACTGGCCTAACGTAGGGGCGAAGTCCAAGCGCTGTTCCCCCAGGGCCATAGACAGCCAGCTAGCAGAAGGAGCCGGTGAAGCCCAAGCCCGACAGTGATGATGGCCGTTGGTAGGAGGTTAGGTCAACACTCCGTTAGCTCGCAGCTCCGCAAGCAGTAGCCATTAGGTAGCAGGTAGATGCTTAGATAGCAGGTAGATGCTAGGTGGTAGTAGATCCTAGGCAGCAGTAGATCCTAGGCAGCAGTAGATCCTAGGCATCAGTAGATCCTGGAATTCCAGACGGAGGCCAGCATTAGGGAAACTTCCTATAGCACTATATGTGCCCTAGTCAATTCCAGCACCCCTTGTAGGAAGTTAAAATTTTTAAAGCTAAGCACTAAGCAGCCTCAGCAAAAGAGGTAATAATTAAGCAAAACAGTTACAAAGTTTCAATAAATAAGAACTCACCCCAGCGGGATCAACTGCACCTCGAATAATTTAGATTTTAATTGTAGGTAAGCCGGTTCAACGGTCGTTAGTAGGAGGGTCAGGCTCGTTGCGAACTTGAAGCGGTCTCGGGTAGAAATGAAGGAGGAATGGCCCGAACAGGGACTCGTCGTCGTGTCCGAATCCTACCGAGTCTTTTGTTTTAGAGATCGTTGAGCAAAATGGTTCACGCTGCGCGGGTTAAATTAACTAGTCTATGGTTCCGTAGAATAACTATTTTATATCAACAATATGTAATAATTCGTTACTTTTTATTTTTAGATTAGAATATTATATTACTATTATTTATTTAAGATTATATCCATATTACTATCTATTTAAGATCAATCAATTATAAGTATTTGTAAGGATGCATTCAGATGTACCGTTACACGACCCTTTAAGACACTTAACGCAACGGTACGATTACATTAACTTCCCAACAATTCGTCAACCAACAATTCCAACTACGAGGAATTGTAGTCTAGAATATAAGACGCCGTCTAATATTCTAGACTACAATTCCTCGTAGTTGCACAAATTCGCTAACAAAATCGCAATTATCAGAGGTAACGCTCGAGCGAGTTGACACACCGCAATGCAATGAACGGCAGCCGCTTGACGACAAAAAAATGCCCTTATCTCCGACGCGCTAAGCGCGTGCGGGCAGGCGGCCAGTGCAAGGTACATCGAAGCAGCGCGCCAACGCGCCTCCGTTATAAATTTTTTTAAATATTAGCGTTTTGCGCAATCAGACCCCCGTCCCGGGCATAAGGACTTATGTCCGCGAGTCAATTGGCAAACGGGACAGGGTCGCAACGGCACGCTGCAAGACAGAATCTCCAACCAAAACCTCGGCCACTCTAGGCACCCCATCAGATCCATACGACAACTTAACAATGCGTCCACGGCGCCAATACAAAGGCAAAGCGTTGGGTTCTTTAACTAACACGAGGTCTCCAACCCGCGGAGGATCCGTCTTGTCAGACCACTTAAACCGCTGCTGCAAAAGATGTAGGTACTCCAGAGACAGCAGGTCAAATCTGCTCAGCCGCGAAGAGTTTACTTCCCTGAAGGGGTACTCGGGTAGGGCGTTAAGCGGCTGGCCAATCAGGAAGTGTTACCCGTGGTTAGAACCTCCAAATCATTCGGATCGGACGAGAGGGGGCAGAGGGGCCGAGAGTTGAGTACCGCCTCAATTTTACAGAATACAGTGGCAAGCTCCTCAAACGTTATAATAGTTTCGCCAATAACGCGACGGAGATGCGTTTTTGCAACCTTAACCATCGCCTCAAAAATACCACCCCAGTGTGGGCAAGCCGGAGGATCGAATTTCCACTGGATGCCCTTCTTGGACATCGCAGTACCTAAATACGTCCTATTGTTGGACAGAAATTCGACGACCTCTTTCAAATATCTACCCGTGCCCTTATAATTCGTTCCGCAATCAGACCGGATCAGGTCTAGCAGCCCGCGACGCGATACGAAGCGGCCCAGCGTGGCCAGAAAGGCTTCAGTGCTGAGGGCACTTACAAGTTCTAAGTCAATGGCCTTAGTGGTGAGGCACACGAAAACGCACAGATAGGCCTTTGTGAACGCGCGTTACGAAGGTTGGAGTACTTGACGAGGAAGGGGCCAGCAATGTCTGTTCCGACTCCAGCAAATGGTGGGCCCTGACGCGGTCGGGTGGTAAGTACCCATCATAGGCTGCGATATGGTGGCCTTCAGTTTATAACATGGTATGCACTTAAAGATGACGCTCCGAATGGTGCGTCGGCCAGCCAAAATCCAAAACTCCCGCTGCAAAATAGCCGAAAGAGCGTTACACCTAGCGTGGGCATTCTTAACATGATGGTGGGTTACCAGCAACCGGACAAAGGCGCTGTCTTTGGGGAGCAGTAACAGGTATCGAGTCCCGTACGGCAGTTGGGAATTTTTCAAACGTCCGCCAACGCGCAGCATCCCATAGTCGTCCAGGAAGAGGTTCAGACGGGCCATAGCGCCCTTGACAACGGAGCCCGGCTTCAAGTTTTCAATCACGGGCTCAAAATGCTCCGCTTGGACCATACGGGTCCAATGCATCAAAGCTTCACGACGCTCGCTAGGGGACAAAACGAAATCAGAGATTCGGTTGGACGGGTTTCTCGAATAACGGACAAATCGGCGCAACCAAGCGGTCACTCCTAAGAGCTTATCGAGAGAGCTGTACCGTTCTAGAAGAGGGAGATCCCGAGTGGGCTTATCCTTGCCCACTCTCACTGGGGCTCGTAGGC